ATGTGGCCTGGGCATGGGTTTTTCAATGTTCCACAGATGATTGAGACACTATGACCTAGACTTTTGGAAGCAGCTACTTGCATCTGGGAAAGGCTAATGGCACACTTACGGCATAAAATCAAACTGCAGGGCCCATCAAATATGAAAGAGTACCACAACTTCCCAATTTTAAGTCCTATCCCATTCCCCAAATCCAGCAGTGCTCTTTGGCTAAGCAGGCTTCAGCTTATTAGTTTGAGCACTTTAATAATATAACTTACTTTAAGCTTCTAAATTCAGTCTATTTAGTGAATGTTGAGAAGAGGCAGGAGAAAAAATATAAAATAATTTAATAGAGGAAATGAGATCTATATACAGCATAGTAAAAGCCTAATCTTACCAGCTCACTATTTCTTGGGCTTATAAATATACTAGAGGCCTGGTGCACAAAAATTTGTGCACTGGGGGGGGGGGGGGTCCCTCAACCCGGCCTGTGCCCTCTCGCAGTCTGGGACCCCTCGGGGAATGTCCACCTGCTGGCTTAGGCCCACTCCCCGGGGGATCAGGCCTAAGCTGGCAGTCAGACATCCCTCTGGCAGCCCGGGATGTCCACTTGCCAGCGGGGAGCAGGCCTATGCTGCAGTCGGACATCCTTAGCACTGCTGAGGAGGCGGGAGAGGCTCCCGCCACCACTGCTGTGCTGGCAGCCGTCAGCCTGGCTTGTGGCTGAGCAGAGCTCCCCCTGTGGGAGCACACTGACCACCAGGGGGCAGCTCCTGCATTGAGCATTTGCCCCCTGGTGGTCAGTGTGTGTCATAGTGACCAGTCATTCCCAGTTGTTCTGCTGATAGGGTCAATTTGCATATTACCCTTTTATTATATAGGATTGTATTGAAGATTACATAATATTGCATAGCACATCTCCAGCACAACAGGGGTTCAATCAGCATTTGTCTAATAAATGAATCTGCTAATCGATAAATAAATGAATGGATATCATTGAAGGAGAAGCTGATACTGTCTTTAGTATCCACTTACCAATGCTGTTCTTAGAGTATAGTAGGGGTAACAGAAGTCCATTGACAATAAATGTTCTAGGGTCAGGTGCTAGAGCTGAAAGTCACCTGAGAGACTATAAACCCAGATGGGGCAGGAGGGAGAAAGCAGGTGTGGTAGTCATTAGAGCTGGCAACCAAATATTTCCAGGTCCCCTCCTCTGGATATAGTGGGGATGACATGTTCCCACTTCTTGGAGTTTTTTGTGGCCATGTGACTTGCTTGAGTCACTGAAACAAGCAGAAGTGTTGTGTTTTGCTTTCAAATAGAAGCTTCAAGAGCTAGTGTGTGATTTGTCCCACTTCTCTGTAGGGTGACTAGTGTTTCTGGTTCACCTAAGATTGAGGAGTTTCCAGGGTGTGGAATTTTCAGTGCTAAAATTGGGACAGTCCCAGGCATCAATATTTCAGGTATCGATCATTCCATCAGCTTGGGTCCAAGAATGGGGGCCCCAGAGATTCAGAGCATTGAAATAACCTGGCTGTGTTCACACCACTAATAAGATCAGAGATGGGTTCTAGACCATGTCTGTCTGACTGCAGAATCCATAATCAGGTACCACCCCTGCCAGGTATAGGTAATCTTGATTGCAGGTATCTTTTTTTAATTTTGTTTTCAACCTTGGAGACTCTGGTCCACAAAGGTAGGTGAAAACACCAACTTTCCTAAATTAATTGAATGGCATTCATTTCATAAACATTTACTGTGCTCTATTGTAGTCAAGACTCTGTGTCTGGGTGTTATGAGCTACACAAAGTTAAAGAAATGCTATGATTTCTTTCCTCAAGAAACATATAATGTAGAGGAGAGATAGACATGTATGTACATGGCTAACTATCAAAAGGCAGAAGCTGATAGATCTTATTAAAACATTTTATATATGTTTCTGTACTTGGCAAGTGTACTACAATAAGCACATAGTGGTAATATTATTATTTTTTTAAAATATATTTTATTGATTTCTTACAGAGAGGAAGGGAGAGGGATAGAGAGTTAGAAACATCGATGAGAGAAACATTGACCAGCTGCCTCCTGCACACTCCCCACTGGGGATGTGCCCACAACCAAGGTACATACCCTTGACCGGAATCGAACCTGGTACCCTTGAGTCCGCAGGCTGACGCTCTATCCACTGAGCCAAACTGGTTAGGGCGGTAATATTATTTTTAAAGCATTTATTTTAGAAAGCAGCAATTAGAAACAGCCAAAGTATATTCTTCAGGTTACCAATTCTCAGAAAGCAACAATTAGAAACAAAGTATCTTTATTCTTCAGGTTATCAATTCTCAGAATAATAATAATACCTAGAGAAAGTATATTAATGCCTTCTTTTCTGAAAGTCAGCACTATTTATTCAAAGTACAGTTGCACTTACTGGTCTTCATTAGGAGGAAGATTTAAGATTTTATTCCATTTTGCTGACAGATTTCCCATTGTATTCATGGTTCTTCTTTTGTCCTGTGTCACCAGTGGCCCAAGTCGGCATGCCCACTGGGCAGGATTCTCCACCAGGGATCAAAGCCAGTTAACTGGTCCAAAGGAGGTAGTTTTTGTTAAGGAAAGAAGTGATCAGCCCTCCCTAGGGATGCTACTCACAGGTCCAAAGGCGTTAGAATAAAGCTTTACCCGCACAGGGGTGGTGACCAGGCATGCCACAGAGGATATTTGAAGCCCAGGGCCTCAAAGATAACGGGGCTTCCTTGCCAGTCCTAGACAAAGAAAGTGTGATTTCTGGGGAAAGCATCACTGTCCTGCTGTCTGCAGCTGGACAGTCTCCAGGGCTGCAGTGAGGTTTTGGTCTGAGTACAGCTCTGGTGGCTGGAACAGAAGTTAAGCTGAAGATGTGTGCATGTTGAAACTGTTTTGGGAATGGAGGGAGCAGTAAGCAAACCTGCAAAACATACTGCTTTGTTATGTTTTATAATGGTGGTGTTCCCTACAGTATGGGTTTCCTCATTGCCTAATCCAAGAGCATCTCCTGGGTCCTCTCTGTTACAATGCTGAGTGTCCATGGAGAGTTTGAGTGGAGGAGGGAGGGGCTGTCTCCTAGCTAAGACAGTCATGCAAGGTAAAAACCTCAATGCAGGAGCAGCTGCCACGAGTTATGCAAAGAGCCTGGGGTCTGTCAACTCCAGGTGAGCAATTTCCCCCAGGTTTATATGTAAATGTGTGTCTAATGAGAAAGCCATAGACTTGAATGTCATCATAACTTGTGCTTGTGACATCTTTGCCCAAGAACACAAATCGAACATTTATGTTCTTCATACTTGGGAAAGAAAGAAATAGACTGAGCCACTTCTTCATGCCTTGACACCTTATAACTTACATATACATACCTGATATGTATATATCATGTTAGAATAATACGTTGTTATCCTACTATGCTAATCAGGATAGACTAGATAACACATTAACCCCAAAATATTGACTTATGATAAAAGTTTACATGGTACTTCACAATCCACTGTAAGTAGGGTCCCTCCTGAAAAACTCCTCCAAGAAGTGACTTTGGAATTCATTCTCCTTTCATCTTAAAATACCATCATCTTCAACATTTGGCCTTCACAGTTGCCACAGAGGGAGGTGGGAGTACAGTGCATATACTTACACACAGTGGGATTTGTGGCAAAGTCTGCAAGCACTCTCCATTACTTCTGCCGCATCCCACGCAGAACCTGATGATAAGGCCCCATCCTAACTGCAGGGGAGGCAGGGAAATGTTGCCTTTGTGTGTCAGGAAGAGAAAAATGAAATTGAGTCACCAGTCTATCTTCCAGTTCATATAAGTTAAAGTTATTACATAGTATTTTTCTTCTGATTATGTTTTGCATTTGATACTATTTAGTCTGTCTCCTTGCCCTGCGCTGTGTTCTATGACATCCACATGCAGCATCCCATTTCTCACAACAGCTCTATGAGTTGTCAGGACAGGCATCATACACACACTTTATAAATCAAGGACCCTGAGATCCAGAGTAGTCACATGACTTGTCCAAAGTCACACAACTCTCTCTCACATTAGTGGGCCCTCCACTATAGCACACTGTCTTCCCCAGAAGCTCAAACTAAATTAGGCACAGATCTCAGTATACAAACTCAAGTATGCAAGAAGTATATCTTTATTCCATTACAAATCAACCTAATATTTTTTCCCTATCTGGTTTGGCTCAGTGAATAGAGCGTCGGCCTGTGGACTGAAGGGTCCCAGGTTTGATTACGGTCAAGGGCACATGCCTGGGTTGCAGGCTCAATCCTCAGTGTGGGGCGTGCAGGAGGCAGCTGATCAATGATTCTCTTTCATCATTGATGTTTTTATCTCCCTATCATTCTTCCTTTTTCCTTGAATCAATAGAAATATATATATATATATTTTTAAAGACTGCTTAAGTGGAAAGATTGTGCACTGCTTATAAGAGCTGAAGGAACTCAGACCAAACGACAGGCAAAGAGATGCTGCATTAAAGCAAAACATCACTTGAAAAAAAATCTGACTTGTACCAAATCCTATTTGCAAAGTGGATTGGATTTTAAAATCATTTCAAAGCACACTAATCTTTCAAAAGAAGTTTGCTTTAAAGAGTACAGTTGGCTTTTGGTCAAAAAATGAAGTTTCGGTAATGCAGAGTAACAATTGTATTATAATTACTGGCCACAAAATACCAGGTGCCTAACCAAGCCTTTTCTACTCATTCAAGAGAGCCAAGCCAAACAAAAGTGCCCTGCCTAGCCATACCCATAGTTTATGAGCTCAGTCTTTGTCACCAGGAAGGAATTAATTCAAAGAGCAAAGCCATTATTAGGCACAACCAGGCATTTCTGTTGTAAACACCGTTTGTTAATACATGTTGAGCACTGAACTTTCTCACATTTGAAAGAGTCCAGCTTGAGAGATAATTTAAACCAAGCCAGTTTCAATGTTATTTTCTTTTCTCTTTTCTTTTCCTCTCTTCTGTTTTCTTTTTTAGATTTCTGACATCATATCTTTGGGATCTTCACAGTAGGGAAGTGCTGGCCTTGGAGTCCAAAGATTTTCCCAGCTATCATTTGAATTAAGGATTGTGGTGTTTTCTTCTGTAAACAGATTGCTTCAGCGCCAAAAGAATGAACTAGAAAAGAACAGGCAAGACATAGGAGTGTTATACGGAAGAAAGATATTAAGAGACTTAAAGATGTACTTCCTCATTATATGTAAGAAAGCTATTTCTTAGATTCCTTGAGATATAAAAAGCCAAGTGAATTTACTTAAGTTAATAAATTTTATTTAGTTATAATGCTAATACTACAGCAAAATGTTTTTTATATTTCCTCTCTTCATTGCTTCCTGTTCATTATTGAGAGAAAAAAATCCAGTGTAACTTTTTTGTACTCTGATAATGATGAGGTTATCTAATTTGTTTTGTATTTGCTTCGCAAATGCATGTGCACGTGTGGGTATATGCTTAAATTGAATAAGACAGATGCATTGTGTGGTTGCTATAAACACAGATATAAGGCTTATGATGGGGCCCAGTTTTGTTAGAGCAAAACCCCATCATGTAAGCCCTCTGCTATGCTCTGGAACTGAGAGGAAAAACAAAATCTTCAGTTCTCAGAACAACCTGAAAAATCTGTGGCAATGAGTCAAAGGCCTTATTCTTCTTTGCTAACCCTGGGATTGGAAGGCAGTTCTGCATTCAGCTAAGGTGTCTGATCCACCTTGGTTTGTCAGTGTCCCACATCCCGGAAGCATCTGGCCCACTAGGTTCAGCTGGTAGAGTCTCTGAGCCCTTGTGCTTCTCTGCCTATGGAGGCAGAGGAGGCAGCCACACCACCGAGCAGGGAGTGTGCATCTGTCTGTTCTGGGCTCCCATGGGTCTTCGGCAGGTAGGTTGGTGCCTATCTGCATTTCAGGGAAAAGAGAGAGTGAGTTATCAGGCTTAACCATGTAGCATTCCTGTTTCTGCAGGTCAAAAAAGGCCTAATATCAGAAAGTTTATGTGAGGCCACCTAATACTTGCCCAATATCACAAAGTTAGTAGGTGCTAATTCCAGAGTTTGAACAACCAACTACCCCCAAATGATAACTGTGTATCTGTATTTCAGATGACAGACCGGGGCTTAGAGCAAATGCATTTAAAAATAAATAACATTGGCAAATATGTTCTCCCATGCAGTGGGCTTTCTTGTTTTGTTGGTGATTTCTTTTGCTGTGCAGCTTTTTATTTTGATGTAGCCCCATTTGTTTTGTTTTTTTTCCCCTTAGTTTCCATTGCCCTAGGAACTGTATCAGTAAAGATACTGCTACAACAAATGTCTGCTATTTTGCTGCCGATGGCTTCTTCTAAGATTTTTATGGTTTACGTTTAAGTCCTTTATCCATTTTGAGTTTATTTTTGTGTATGGTGTAAGTTGGTGGTCTAGTTTGCATGTATCTGTCCAATTTTCCCAGCACCATTTATTGAAGAGACTGTCTTGACTCCATTGTATGCTCCTTTGTCAAATATTAATTGGGCATAATGGCTTGGGTCGATTTCTGGGTTCTCTGTTCTGTTCCATTGATCTATATGTCTGTTCTTGTGCCAGTACCAGGCAGTTTTGAGAGCAGTGGCTTTGTAATACAGCTTGTTATCTGGTATTGTGATCCTTCCAACGTCTTTCTTCTTTCTCAAGATTGCTGCAGCTATTCGGGGTCTTTTCTTGTTCCAGATGAATTTTTGGAGAGTTTGTTCTAGATCTTTGAAATACATTGTTGGTATTTGAACGGGGATTGCATTGAATCTATAGATTGCTTTGGGTAGGATGGACATTTTAATGATGTTGATCCTACCAATCCATGAACACGGAATATCCTTCCATTTATTTATGTCTTCCTCTTTCTCTTTTCTTAGCATTCTGTAATTTTCTGAGTACATGTCCTTTACCTCCTTGGTTAAATTTATTCCTAGGTTCCTTAATTTTTGTGTTGCAATGGTAAATGGGATTTTTTTTTTTAAGTTTCTCTTTCTGTGAGTTCATTATTGGTGTATAAAAAAGCCATAGGCCTTAACTGGTTTGGCTCAGTGGATAAAGCGTCGGCCTGTGGACTGAAAGGTCCCAGGATTGATTCCGGTCAAGGGCATGTATCTTGGTTGCAGGCACATCCCCAGTAGGAGGTGTGCAGGAGGCAGCTGATCGATGTTTCTCTCCCATCAATGTTTCTGACTCTCTATCCCTCTCCCTTCCTCTCTGTAAAAAATCAATATTTTTTTTTAAATGGCACCTCTTACCCAGCTGGCATACCTCAGTGGTTGAGCATCGACCTATAAAACCAGGTCACAGTTCAATTCCTGGTCGGAGCACATGCCCGGGTTGTGAGCTCAATCCCCAATAGGAGGCATGCAGGAAGCAGCCAATCAATGATTCTCTCTCATCATTGATGTTTCTCTCTCTCTCTCTCTTTCCCTTTCTCTTTAGGGGAAAATCAATAAAAATATATTTAATTAAAAAAAAGATGGCACATCTCAAATTACTGATGAATTAACGGAATGCTGAATGTTTAAAAAAGGGGGTAATCTCATACATAAAATGTAGAAAAAGATGGTAAAAAGCAAAGGTGATAGCACTAACTGTCACAGTCCCCTAAAGTTTACATGTGCCACAGTAACGTTACTATGAACTTTCTCGAGTATTTTTTATCAGTGCAAATAAACAAAATAATTACATTTTCAAGTAAAATTTATTTAATAATATAAAAATATGATATTAAAAACATTTATTAAGAGAAGTAACTTCAGAAGTCTTATGACTTTATAACTGAAAAACAATAAAAACTGTTCTGTGCTTCCCAAAAAACAAACAACAAAAAATGCCACCTATCTTTCACTTGTCTTTTCACAATAGGGAAATTCTAGTGTTACTCTACCTATTTCAATTCTGGTTTATTTTTTAAGTCAACTTTCCTAAGAAGGAATGCTGGCCTTCTGAGAGAAAATGG